TCTGAGCGACCCGTCAATTCTGCCTGTATCTCACCGATTCGTGATCATATCTGTCTTGGAGGAGGAGAAGACGCCATGCAAGTAACACAGACAGCTGTATCTGCTGGCCATTTCGAAGCAAAACTGTATCATATGGTGTTTGAGGAAGAGTTCGCTAGGTTCAAGGTAAGCTTCAAAAGCTGTACTTTGCAAAGTCTTATAATTTGCTCATTCATCGGCTCGTTCTTCTAAGGAGTCCATATTGTAAAATCAGGAACAGTCAAATAAAACTTGACAAATCATCTTCTACCTGACTTTCTACCCTCTGGTTCCCTGTAGTCTACTGCTTCTTTCCTCACCCTAGGCAAAACGTTCTGACGTAGGCTTCATTATCTTAACCATCATTTCAGGGTCACTTCGGACCTATAAATACAATGGCATGGCATCCGGCGGGTAACATTATTGCAACCGGTGGTGAGGATGGTTACGTACGTGTGCAGGAGTTCGATGACGACTATCTTGAGTTCAAATATGATTATTAATGTTTGTCGTATTCATTTCTGACCCTCTTGATATGTCTCTTTCGTCTTCATTGTTATATCCTTCTTGCTTCTACTGATGGGCCTAGGATCGATAAAATATTACCAATCTGTATCGTCGATTTCGGTCTTTTCTCGGTCTACGGGAGGCTTTGGTTTATGAAATCTGTTGACTAGATGTTGTATGCTGCTTGATTCGGTGAGTGAAAATGCGCTACAAGGATTTTACATGACTATCCTATCCTATGAAGGTGAATTCCTTAGCAGGTTCACAATGAGAGTTGTTGATATAAATTGTTTCGCTGTTGACCATTCTTAAGTTTGGGTGTTAGCCACTGTTTATGTCGGTAAAGATGTTTTTCCTGCAATTCAAATGTTCATCATATCGTTTTGAAAGCTTCCGGAGCCCATCGTATTTCTCTTGGATTGGCTCATATAATGACTCAGTTAATGCCAGAAACTTTTTTCCAGGACAATTCTATGCTTTGTCAACCATGTCAAAATTCATTACAAATAATATTTAGTTGAATACACTGCTATAAGAATACTGGAAATTAGGACAGAGGTAAGGATGAGGAGTTTGGGATATTTGAAGATGCTAGATTTCTTGTCCAGCATTAGTCGTGTACTTCCTGTTAACGCCACTCCTATTGCTACCTGTAAATTATCAATAATAATACAATTAGCATTATTGATAGAATTGGAATTATCAATAACTTTGAAAATATAAAATGTGCTGATAGGTAATTAAGGTTGCTGTATTTCTGAGTTAGCAGGGAAATGATGCTTAATGATACAAACTGCGAACAGATGGAATGTGGCATTATGATGAATATGTAGAAAGCCGACTATTCCTAATTTACTTTAGTGAGGTAATGGAAACCCTATGAAGCGGGTTGGGTCTAAACAATGGCTAATGACCTTGAGCTTAGGCAAATATCAATGTTTTTAATTATCCAGACGGATCTATAACTAGATAAACAACTCCCATAAAGTTTTGAGGTTCGATTGATCGGACGGGAATAGATTAGATCAAAGATTAGATTCAGAGGCTATGCTTGTGGTAGGGGCTGTAAAGAACCATCCGATGATATTGTAAATCGTGAATGAAAGTTAGACGTACTGGTAACAAGTTCTTGGCCTCATGTAGTTCTAAACCATCGGCATTTTCGAGACCGTGAAATGTCCATGCAAGGAACAACATCAGAAGAGTTCCTCCGATGACAGCTACTGATGAAAGGAATCGCCATAGGGTGAAGGTGGGTAGAGGTAAAATGCAAACGATACTGGCCATTCCATAAGCAGGGACATACATCCACCATAATGGATCGTTCTGGAAAAAAATAAAAAATGTAGTGTTGTAAAGGTAATGAGGATAGAGTGGGGTATGGATTAGCTCAAAAGCGTTAATATCGAAAGGCTTACTAGATATTGGTATACAGCATGAGCTGATAAAGCCATTGCCAAGACGGTGACCATTCCAGTGTTCATGCTTACTTCCTGTAAACATAAGTTCATCTACTTCTTGTTGATGTTTCTGAAGAACATCCTCCAAGAAAACAGCAAAAAATGTCTATCGATGCGGTTGAATAGACAGCATCAACAAAAATTAAAATAGTTTTTTTGCCTGAGCTTATTGCAGTGATAATTATTATCACTAAAGAATTGAAAAAATCCAGTTGCGCCCTGCATCTGAGTTCCATCAGAATCGTAGTGGCAGCTAAAGTGGTCATTTACCCTATACAATGACTTGCGGGGGTCAGGCGATGCCAAGTCGGTGCTTTTATCTCCCCGGACGAGTCTGATCGCAATTAACAGACCGCGGAAAGGGATAAGGCTAGATTGTTTCTTGGTGATTATCGGACCAGGATTCGACCCCCGGGTCATGCGTGTACAATAGCGTGCCATTTGCCAGTACGCCATCATCAACTACGATGAATAATGTACGATTACAACGTTAGTCATCGTAGGTATGGGTGAAGCAATAGGGTTCAACCACGTTGATTCTTACGTCTTCGCAAGGGCGCCTCCAGACCCTATGCCATGCTGCTATAGGAACGATCTTTGTCAAAGTATGGAAGGGAAATATGTGAAGACAGAGAAGAGTCAGATCAATTAAACTAGTGAAAGAATACAGATTCATTATGAGAAGATCATTGATTATGTAACTGCGGAGGATGCAAAGAAGGGGTGGGGGTGGGGGAGGTAAAATCATTGGCACACAAACAGAAAGCATTGCTTTACCCATTCTACACCGACCAGTTTCTAATCGATTTTTCTCGTGTCTACGTTTCATTTCCCCGAGAAAACTAGGCAAGTGCAAGGGCGAAAAATGAAAAAAAAAGAATTCTCGAAATCGAAAGTAAAATTAGAACCCATTAAGCATCACGAAAAGAATCTCGGCCAAGCTTATTGTAAACCTGAGTAACGTTGGGTAGCTTTACTGCAGAGAAACGGGTTATTCGCTACTCGTAACAATAGGAGGGTACTCCAAGTAGAATCAATGGTGAACTGTATAAACATCCAGTGGCGTACAAAGTAATCTGTGATCTTTTGACCTTGGGTAGTTCGAACTTTTCGCAACGGCAATTAGGATAGTCCTAAAAGGAAATGGTATGCTGAAAAGGGAAAACCAAAGAAAAGTGTTTTCTTATCAGCATTTTAAATTGGCTTCCGAAGGGTAGGTAAGTGGGAGGTGAAAGGGGTGGGTGGCCACCAATGAACAACATTCTGCCTTATCTAATCAATGTGATGAGGTTCAAGTGTGCCAGGGGAACCGGTATTGGGTTCGCCGTACACCGTTATGCACTCTGACGACTACAATTTCTAGTTAATCAGGGAATCACTTGACCTTGGTATTATCGACAAATTTTGTAATCCTTCGACAAATTTTGTTATCCTTCTTGGAATGAGTATACATTTTGAGTTAAGGTTGATTTTATGGGATTTTACTGAGCAGTCATAGGTGGTGTCGTGTCTTACAGTTAGTCCAAGGCAGCATGTCAACATAATTTTCGTAAAAAAAAAANNAAAAAAAAACAATAAACAATACCGTAAACTTCGAGTTTCTATTTGTGAGACGCTTCAATTGATCATTTATCTAATAATGAACTGTCTATATTTTTGAAACACTCTTAAGGTGGGCGGTCTTTGACCGAGAAATGGGAGGGGCGTGCGCCGAATCCTAATTTTGGCGCGAAATCTTTTTTCTAGATACATATGTTCAGATGTAGATGTCCAGCATAACACCCTCAGGGACGAAAATATCTTTCAATGCTTATCTAGCTGTATAGATGGAAATAATACAAATAAATTAGGGAAAATCACGAAAAAAAATTCAAAGAATATGGGGGAAAGAAGGCAAGAAAATGCTCTTCGGAACTACACCAAGTTGACAACCCAAGACTGTGAGGACAGACAGGTTCCATTGATGTAAAACCTTCGGTGTACTCGACTTCCACTTTAAAGGACGGTAGGAGGGGTGGTGAAGAAGCAGTTTTAGCAACATTCACTAAAGAATTTGGTGTATTAAGTGTACCAATTTCTTTTCAATGAAACTTTCGAGGCTTCAGAGAGGATTTTGAATGTTCATCGTATGAATGAATCTTATTGTAATGAACTCCTCGAATTATTTTCATTAATCAACTTTGATATTCAGTATGTCTTCTTATCCCATAGAGGTTCACACACACGATGGTGATATTCTTCGAACTGACATCTCCAGCATCACATTGATGTTCTTTGACACTGTCGTAGCCGAGCTGTCATACAAATGTGGAACTTTCGAACATTTTGAATGTACGTTTTTTGTTGATTCAACAATTTCAAGTTCAAAGTAATCCAGCAGTTCTAACTATTATCCATTCTGAATTCATTGATCTTACCATTTTCAATAAATGGCCTTTTTCTTCAAATGTCTTCCGGGTCAATAAATCAGTGCTCTTAGACTAGTTCAATTCCGTTTAATCAAGTCCGCAAACCAAGTCCATAGTAATAACCGTCTGACCATAGCAGAACCGATTACATAATAGAACATTAGAAGTTCAATTTGGTCTCGACCACTTTGATCCCCTACCCTACCACCTTGACCCGGTAGGGTGGCGCTTTTGTTTGTCCACCTGACCGTCCGAGCAAACTTAACGCATGTGCTTGGAACTGTTCGAAATTCAGTAGAGCAGTGAAGTATCTGAAAAGAAACCCGAAAGTTTTCTATACCAAAATAGAAATGTTCAGATGAAGATGAAGATGGCGATCACATTGCTATACGGAGCGATGATGACATGCCTTCTTTCAAAGCTTTCCTTGAACAAGAGCAGATGGCTGTCATTTGGCTAGGTGAGTTTTCCATCAATTATTGCCCTCTATAATAGTGAGTCTCACCCATAGATTTCTCACGAGGTCAGGGCTCCCTTCCTGACTGTGTTTCTAGTTAGCAAACAGGTATTTCTGCTCTTAACCTGGGCTCGAAACCTCACTCATTTCGCTTAATTTTGAGTGACTTATTTCAGTTTTCAGTGAAATCGTCGCCTATGATTCTTGACGATATACCAGCCATCATTCCTTCAGATCTAAAGCATCTGAATCTCATATCACAAGGACAATTTGGCAGTGTTTACAGGTACATGCAATAGCTTCTTCATATCTGAACATCAACTTTACTCACTTTCTTCTATGCTCTAAATTATTTGTTGTTTGTTGTTTTATTATATTGTGGGGGTTTTCAGAAGCATACACATACCTTCTGATCGTGTCCTTGCTGTGAAATGTGTCTCTCTGGATAACTACGGTATGCAACGAGATAGTGCAATTAGTGAATTAGCCCTTATCAAAAAGGTTCGTTATTTTATTAGGCATAGCGCTGTTCACTTAATCGGATGCACCTTGCAAGGATGTAATGTCCTGAATTATCAGGTTTGTGTATGGTAGAGTACTGGGTGAATGGAAGAAATTTGCTCGTAGTTGACCAATTCGTTTCGGATATTTCTAGCAGCGGTGGAAGTGGTATAATGGCGAATGACCACTATAACCCGCACGCTCAGGGGACTGAATTCCGAATCGATACTTGCCCAAGCAAACTAATCATTCTATTTCTTCAGGGTCGTTTAGTTGAAACAAAACTCGCATGGAGGGCAAAGCACTGACTCGTACATTGGCCGGCCGCAGCAAATTACTGTATAGACCATACCCACACTCAAAACTCTACTACTAATCTGAATGGAAGTCGGCTGCGGGGCACATTCGCAAATTGATTAGTGATTAGTGCCGAGTGTGGGGCGATTGATTAGTGCCAAAAACCTTCTTCTATGTTTATTTCGAGTATAACACCGTCATTTTCTTCCTTTTCAGTGTTCGTCTTGTGCGTATATAACAGACCTTCTTGGAGCTTATATGGATTCGCAGATGTTGTATATTTGTTTGGAGTATATGGATGGCGGTGCAGTGGGGAATTACGGTTGGTTCGAATTATTTTTTATGGTTGTAGGTTTTATTTTCTCATAATTGCCTACTTTTCATTTTACAATTGGGAAAAAAGGATGAGAGCAAGCGACAAGGCGGGTACAAGGTGTAGTGCCTAAGAGGCTACTTGAAATGCAAGCGTAAGATTAATGGGCAGCGGCAGTATTACGAATAGATCCACAGAGGGAAGATCACAAGCAAAGATTGGAACGTTGAAAAGCAGCTTTTAGAGGGATCAAAGGATGAGCCGTATTCTGAGGAGATTTATACGACAGCCGGGTAGTAACGTAAATAGTTCGAAAGTGAAAAGTGAGGGAGCGGAGGTTTTTGATTGCTGAATATTTTTTTTTGATCTGTAATGTAATTTTGAATTTTTTGATCAGGACGGAATAGACTGAAACAAACTCATCTATGTATAGTCAACATGCATAATCCATTGCCCAGTCTGTTCTGTTAACAGGGGTCAATGCATGGCGTATATATAGCTTAAACACCTCCAGGTTCTTAGTAATATTAGTGATTGACGTTGTACTCGAAATTTGCGTCCGTTATAATCTACTCTTACAGAACCGATCCCTGCTGAAGTTTTGACCTATGTTAGTCGAAGCATTTTTGAAGCTCTACGGTATATGTGGAACAACAAAATCATTCATCGAGTTGAGTATTTTTAGAATTATGTCTTCTAATTCGTCATGTCTTAAAGACGTTTTCCATATCGTATCTAATTTTAGATCTTAAACCCAACAACATTCTTGTAAATTCTGCTGGTTACGTTAAACTTTCGGATTTTGGCCTCTCAAAGGTGATGGAACATTCCATTACTCGCACTTATGTTGGCACGACCATCTATATGGCTCCGGAACGTCTTCGTGGTGGAGTTTACAGGTTTGATTATTCCTCTGCTTTGAGACTGCTTTGTTCAGGAATCGAATATCAAATCAACACCCTACCATACCAACCAAACCTTCCATACCTCCTGGGTAGGTTAGTTAGTACCAGGCTCTTCTGGGAGGATAAGCGTTGAGACGGCTATCGCAAGTCATTGTATATTATTCGTAAAGTCTCCTGTGGTTTCGAAAACGAAATTTTTAAAACGTCCATCTAGATTGAAGTCGAGTGTGGGCTGAGGGAATCCTAAAAAGAAATTGATTAACCTCATTGATTAACCTTGGGAGTTTCATCTTCTATGGATCGTTTTATTACTTTTGGCCACTGTCGGCCGTCCATTAAATCTCTACAACAAAACTGCCTTGTTTGCATTCGAGTGATGTAGCAAAGGCGGGGAACTATGTATTAGCCAGTCTGTTTCGTTTCTACCATCCTAACGGTAGCAGTGAACTATTTTCGGGTTACGCCTAGGTTTTCTCCCTGCTATGTGTCAAAGTCTCCTGTGGTGCGTATAATAGCTGAAGAGCTTATATTATCTACATTTGTTTCAGGATAGAATCAGATATATGGAGCTTTGGCCTTTCTTTGTGGGAGCTCGCTCTGGGGCATTACCCTCTGCAGACGCCTAAGGACACGCTACTTACAACTACTATCAACTATGACAAAGATCGTCAAACTCATGTTGAAAATATAACAGGACATTCACAAAAGCTTTGCGTCTTAATAAACGGATGGTGAGTTTGTCCGTTCAGGCCTATTCGTTTACGATTTGAAGTTCACTGGTTTGCCATTACTGTTTAGAATTTCCATGCAAAAAAAAATGATTAAATGTAAATAGCTCATTTCACGGAATTCAACATTCTGAATTTTGGCTTTAATTATCCTGGCAGAGCTTACCTGTCCAATTCGAAACGCTTAGCTCCGAACAAACTAGCTACAGAGCCGTCCGACTTGGCTCAGCACCCCTGTTTTGATACTACCTAAGAAGATAAAAGAGTTTTTTTTTCGTAGGGGAAATTCTCGACAGATTTATGTCATCAGATATTCCTTTGTTGAAGCGAATGAATATTTAACCAAAAATTTTTTTATCCATCAATCTACCTACT